ATTAGTGAAGCACTGATGCTACAAAAACACGACTGCAATCTGCACACAACCAAGGCTTAACTCCACAAAGAAAGAAAAATCATTCATTGCAAGCTCAAAAAACTGGGCATAATGAGCTTAAACTATTACAAGAATTTTGACTGAACATCCAAGTAGTTCTTGCTCACAGCAAGATCTCATAAACTGAACATAACCTTACCAAGAAAAGGTAAAGATGAAGCAATAAAAACATTGCTGCAGGTTTCAAGCTAGCTTTAATCTGACTTGTAGCAAGGTAAAGGCTTCTTTTTTCCTACTCAGACTGATTCTATAACATCATTTTAGTAGCTAGAAACATTGCAGAAGGGGTGAATGCACACAGAACAGTGTGCATGCTTAAATGATGAACTGTTCTCAAAGCAGTTTCTAACAGCAATATTTTGTTTCGACAGATTAATAAACTCATGTCTTTGCCTTGAAAGGAACAGTTCACATGAGCAAATTTTTCAAATGAATGAAGCTAATAAGAATAGGGTCCTATCAAGCAACCCACTCTGTTGTAAAAGCTGCACTGTAAAATAACTTCACTGATTCTTCAGACATTTTTATGCTCTGGCTGTTACTGGCACCATTGGTCAGGCACACAGCAGTCTGTACACCAATACAAATTATCTAAAATGTATTCTGAACCAAAGTAGATGCTGCTTCTCTGCATCTCTTTAACTAGAAAAAAAAATCTAACTGAAAGGAAGATAATGTAAACGTGAAGTTCACGCACACTGCAGGTTTTGACAGAAAGAAAAAAGTGAGGAACGTATCTTTGTTCAGAGAGCAATCCCTTGCAGAACATTAATAAATTCCCTGAGGCATATCTCTAAGGAATGCTCAAAAGGACTGAGGCACACAGCCTATGCACAGTGAAAGAAGCCATTTTTCATTGCATTTTGCACTACAACCTGAGAATATTGATAAACTGTAAGTTGCTGAAGTGTCAACAAATACTTTTAATATATCCTGCCTCTAGAAAACTGCATCCTTTCAGGGAGAGGAAACAACAGAACAGAGAACTCCACATTACCGTGCTGGGGTTTTTTTATTTTTTATTATTTTCTACAGCTACTGTATTATAAGACAACACACCATGCCTAGCATTACTCAAATGCATCATGTTATCATCCAGTTCAAGTCTTCTGCATTTTCACAGCTCTAAGAATATCACTGTTTCCAAATGCATCTGTTTATTAATATTGCTGCTGTTCAATAGCATGTAGTAAAACAAAATTAAAAACAAAAAAACACATTTATCTATGAAGTAAATTTACAGAATTGCAAAGATCAATGTTGTTACTTAAAAACATAGTAAGAAGGGAAGATGGTAAGGGAAGAAAGCAGGAAGAAGAATGCTCTTATTTAAGTATATTGTTAATTCAGTTTAAACAACAACAACAAAGCAAAATAGCAGTAGCTAAGTGAGAGGGCATTTATATGTCAGTACAAAGTCAGAACTGCAATGATGTAATAAATTTACTATTTAATTCCACGCTTGGCCCATAATTCCAAGTGCAAACAACCGATACTGATTGCCAAGCGCTGAAGCACAGAGTATGCTTAACACTGTGAGGTCACAAAGAACACAACAACATGCCACAGCAGCACTGCCTGCAAATTTCAGTCACCCTTAAACGTATTCCTTGAGAAAGCCTGGTGAAAGACAGCACAAACAGCCACCATACAGAATAGACAAATGGAATCACTGTGCCCTCGTGAACCAACCCTCCCTCCTTCAATACAAATGTCATAGAAAATGGACAACCATGCCAAAAGTTAAGGGGCCTTTCTGCCTCCCTGGCATGGCCCTGGCTAACCTTGAATGGTCCCTGTGCCCATCACATGTGGGCTCTGAGCACACAAGGCCCAGGAAGATCTGCATGCACCTTTTCCACAAGCCACTGAACATGGGAAAAGCTCCCTTGGGGTCACAGCTTTGTGGACAGCCTCCATCTGAAGGCACCCTGCCATAAGTGCCCACGCTTCACCACTGTGCCTAGAAACAAACCAGTAGCCACAGGCCTCTCCACACAGCCCTAGGGAGAGCTTTTGACTCACTTCATCATCACTGCAGTGGTTGGTTTTGGTTTTTTTAGTCTGGGAGGGAGTATTCAAAACTCAGCCAAAGCAACCCCATGTTCCAGTGTAGCACCACTGGGACACTCTCAGGCCTGAATTACTGCAAAACAACACTGTAACGATGTCTTAATTTCACTGACTGATCTCAAATGTGCTTTTAAAAAGCAATTTGAGGTTTACAATCCAAGTGTTTTAAAACGCATTCAAATGTTACCTAAACGAAAAGTGTATTTATTTCTTCTTTCTGGAGCTTGCTTTTAAGCATTTCCAAGGAAAAGCATCTCCAGCTGCAGAGCACAAGACAACAAGCCATTTATCCCAGCAGCACAGTCCATCGAACTGACCCAACGCAACTTTGTAATTATGGATGCTTCCAAATACGGAGGGAGCCACGTTAGGATCCTACATGTGAGCCCACAGCCCAGCTGCACCCAATGAAAGAGGAGGAAAGACAGAAAAGGGTCTTACTTGGTGCACAAAGACATCAACCGGGGACTCCAAGGGGCTTCCCTCTCGGCTGCTCATGGAGATGAACCCGAATCCCATCCTCACATTGAACCATTTGCAGTGGCCGGCTCCGTGCCAAAGCGGGGATTCCTCCTCCTCCTCGTGCTCCGGCAGCCGCACGGGCTCCTCGCCGCCTTTACTCGCCCCTGCTGAGGGAGAGGGGGCAGGGGAGGAGAGAAGGAGAAAGATGCAAAGAGGAGTTAAATTCTGGGAACATCCTTTCGCCACCGCGTAAACTAGTCACTACGAAAGAAAGAAGGAAAAAAAGAAATAAAGGCAAACGAAACGCAGTGAGAGCAAACTGCGGCAGGAGCCTGTTTGCTGCTGAGTAAGGAAGCAGGCAGCCAGCTCCCGAAACGCGTCCACCGGAGGCCTCGGCTCGGCTCGGCTCGGCCCGATCCCTCTCGCCACCACCGCTCCATCCGCGGCCCCATCCCGGCCCTCGGACGTTACTTGGGTGTTGCTGCTTTAAGACCGATCCCATTTCCCGAGCGCGGCTCCCGGCCCAATCAGTCCCTCCTGGCGCGGCGCGGGCGGACGGGGGGGGCTGTACCGCCGGCTACGGCACGTGCGGCGCGGCCACCGCCGCTCCCCAGCGTGTGCCCATCGCTCCTCGGAACGCGCTCCGGGCGGCGGCCGGGACAGGTGTAGGGGCGCGCTCTCATCCCGCCGCCGGGACGGGGCCCGGGCGGACGGAGCCGGCGGACAATGGCCCCCGGGAGCCGCTCGGGGCTGAATGGGAGGGGGCGGTCCGCGGCGGTCCGGAACAATGAGACCGCGGCAGCCCCCGTGCGCGGGCCGCTAACAGGGGAATGCGGGGCGGGGGGGTGAGGGAGGGCGGGGGGAGCGAGCGAACGAAACCGGAGTAAAACAATAGAAAAAGAAAATTAACCTTCGGCCATGTTGCCCCACGGGCCCTCTGCTCCAAACTCGTGAGATGAAAACTTTCCCTTTGGATCGAAGTGCTCTTCTGCTTTAACCCAACATCCTGCGTCTGCACGAGCCCCAATTTCGCTCGCATGGTCCAACGTGCTTTCCCCCTTTTGCCTTTTCCCTTTCTCTGGCGCTCGGTCTCTGGCCCCCCGCGCACACGTGACTTTGCCAATTACATGCTTTCTCGCTACTAATTTCGCATCGGGTCCTGAAGGGGTTGGGAGAAGCGGCGGCAGCCAATCGCCTTCTCTACGCGCCTGACACACCGAAATAATTTATGAATGAACACGGCATTTCCAACGCGGCTTTTTTTTTTTTCTTTTTCTTTCTTTCTTTTTTTTTTTTTTCTCGGCAGCTCACCCGCGCGATGCCGTGCGGGAACCCGCAGTGCAACACGCGCCCACGGCCGGAGCACACGGGCGGGAGCTGCGGGGCCGGGCGGCACCTGAGGAGCGCCGGGCTCGGCCCTTCGGAGCGCTTCTCGAGGGGGATGGGGGGAGGCATCGGGCTTCACAGGTTTCTCCGCCATCTCTTTCCGGGGGAGGGGATGTGATTAATGACTTCCTAAATAGGAGCCCGGTTTTCAGCGCTGGTGGGAGAACGAACCTCGGGGCGGCGGGGATTGTTCCCCAGGAGCGCCGTGGGGAGGGGGGAGAAAGAGAAGGAGGGAGAACGGCAAAGGATTTGCTGGAGAGGAAGGCGGAAAAAAAAAAAAAAAAAAAAAAAAGCAAAAAAAAAAAAAGCGAGAGGGAAGACAAAGAGAGAACAGACAGCGCGGACCGGCGCTGCTGCGCTAAATTCCCGCTGCCGGCGGGCGGGCGGGCGCGGCCCCGTGCTTCCGCGCAGGTGGGCGCACCGTGCGCTGCCCGCGGCCGGGCTTCAACGCCCCGAAAGTGCGCGCCGTGCCGTTCCCCATCGCTCTCATCTCCTCCGTAGTAAAGGTACAAATGGAGGTACGAAAAGAGACTTCGCTTTCTCTCGCCGCCTACCCGCGTATCACCACGTCACGCGCCTTTTCCACGCCGCCCACCCCTCGGGCTCCGCTCCTCTGCCATCACCCGCCCGCACCCCTCGGTGCCCCCGCCGGGCCGGCAGCGGTGCGCGGGCTGCAGCCCTGAATTCCTCCGCAGCTTCCAGCCGGACGTTTCCCAGAGGCTGCTTCGACGGTCGGCTTCCTGCGCCGAGTTGCTCCAAGCACCGCTCCCCTCTGCTCGTAGCCTCCTCCCCCCGTGCGACAGCGATTATTTTACCATATTAAATCTCGGTAATCTTATATGGTTGGATCTTATGGCCGTGACGATTTGTAATATGTAATAAATATAGGAGATGTTAACGCGCGTGAAACCTCAGCCATGGAGGAGAAATTCAGGTCACCTGCGGGAAAAATGCTTACAACATCGGCTGGAAGGGTCGGAGCAGCACTCCCAGAGCAGCAGAATGACCCAAAATTAGGAGCTCCCTCTGCCCCTCCTTCAAAAAGCACTCTATATGCATGGCAAGAAAGACCCCTCGGATGGAAGCGCGTGGGATGAACTGGCACAAACGCTGCTCAAGCCCATCAAATGGTTCCAAAACGTCTCTGCTCAGTACCTTTCATTTAAAATAAAATTAACTATGCGATGTTTTTCGATTAATAAAAACGAGGGATCGGTAACCGCACATATATTTATTGTATTTACGCTGCAAAATAAATGCAGGTTTTGTGAAATAGGGGTGTGTGCGTGCAAGGAGCCTTTCCTGCGATTTTCAGGCCTCCAGTATTAGTGGAATTAAGGTCGGGGTCACCGGACCGGGCGGCGGTGTCAGATGTTATCGGCTCACTCATTTCCTGCGGGGACATCGGCCTTTCAAGTGCTGAGGGAGAGCTGTGGCAGCCGGGGGGCTGCGGACAGAGAGGGAGGGAGAAAACAGAAAGAGAAGAAAAAAAGAAAAGAATGAAGAAAGAACAACGGAGCACAGCCCAGAGATGCCCTCACAGAACCCATTCGCTGAGAATCAGCCCTAATTTTTCCCGTTGGAAGGGGCGGGCAGCCCAGGGAATACACGGGAAGAAGCCCACAGAGAGGGTCAGGGAGAAGCGAAGTTAGCTGAATGGCAGCAGCCCGCAGACACAGAAGTGCTTCAGTCCTCACGTTTCGCTACAGAGATGCTAATTTGGATAAAGACAACTACAGGAAGCGGATCGTTGTCTGCATAAACGCACTGCGAGCCCACTTGAAACTACATAACCACCGGCGATAGTTTAATCGCCACATTCATAGAACTTTTAAAGTCCTAACTCCGATTACTTCTATCCCTTAAAAAAAGGAAAAGAAAAAAAAAAAAGGAAAAAAAAAAAGACGCCTCCCTATCCCTCCCCCCCCCAGAAAACCCACACCGGACTACATCGACAAAGACGGCAAAAGCGACACAAACCCGGCAGCACTCCGCGTGCCTCCGAACCAACCCCGGGCTCGCACGTGAAGCGGAGCCACGGCTACAGCCTCGCTCCGCCCGAGCCGCCCTCCTCTCAGAGCGGGGGAAGCCCCTCCCCGCGGGGGTCGGCGGGGCCGCCGTCCTGCCCTACGCCGGGCAGCGCCCCCTGCCCCGGAGAGCCGGGGAACGGCAGCGTGTAGAGGGCAGAGCTTCCTAGGGCGGGGGCCCCGGGCCCGGGTCTCGCTCGGCCCCGGAAGATCCATTAAAGGAGATCAAAGGCGGGAGGCTGCCCGCCGGGCCGCTTTCAGGTAGCCCCGCGGCCCGGCTCCCAGCCCACCCGCGGGACCCGACGTGATGGCGGTGGAGCTCCAGAGGCGGCGGCTCTTCCCGCCAAAACGCCTCACCTACGCGCCCGAAGCCGCCCCCTCCTTTCCGCCGCGCCGCGCTGCGCTCGGCCCGAGGGCGGGCTCCGCGCTGCCCGCCGCGCTCCGCCGTCGGCAGCGGCCCTGCGGCTCCGGGGCCCGCTTCCCGGTGCCCGACACCCCCGGAGGACGCCGGAGGCGGCGGCCGCGCCCCGCCGCACCCCCATGCGAAGCGCCTCTTTCCGTCTTCCATTCGACGCCCCCAGAAAACGCGGCTCCCCTCAGAGGCGGGAAGGTGGCGGCGTGCCGCCCTGCACAGAAGCGGAGCTCTGCCCTCCTCCCCGCCCGCCCGAGGGAACGCGTTTAACGAACGGCTCCCGAGAAACTTTTCTAACCGTGAAACGAATTACACGAGCTCCGCTGCGCTCCGGCTGTCCCGAGGCGGGAGGCGACGCTCGCCAGCGCCAGGCAGACAGCAGCGCCCTTCGGGAGCCGCCCGCGCGGCAGCCCGTGCCCTGAGGGGGCGGCCGGGGCGCACGCAGCCCTCAGCGCCGTTCCGCGCAGCCCCCGCGTGCCTCGGCGCGCACACAGGTGGGAACCGATCCCAGCCGGCCCACGGCTCTCAGCCGTGCCGAGAGCGCGCAGCCACCGCCCCTCAGCGGCGCAGCTCCCCTCCGCGGGAGCTCCGCGCCTCTCGCTCCGCGCATGCTCCGCGGCGGCAGGCGGGCGGGCGGGCGCCCGGGGGAGGGCCCGTGGGGGCGGGCGGAGGCAGCGTCCCACCGCCGCAGCACTTCGAAGGCGCCACGGAAATAGTCCGCCGGGTTGGGATCTCAGCGACTGAGGTGTGCGGAGCCTTTGGGAAGCGCACCTTTGTGGTAGCTCCAGAGCATCTGGGCTCATAGTTTACAGCAGGTACCCAAAGGTTTGTTACGCCAAATAAGCTTCCTCTATAGAACGATGTTTACTTGTCGTATTCAAAGTACGTTGAGCAAGAACTCTGAAGCTCGTGGATGAAACCAACGATTCTTTCAGAAAAGTAAATGAACTGAGGCAGCGGGACAGAAGTACTACAAAACTGCAGTTTCACAGATACAAAGCGAGCCACGTACGATGCTACAGAAAGGACTGACCTGAGCCTGAGGAGACCTTCTTGAATGACCTCATCGTCTTCTGAGGAACCTAGAATCAGAGAGCTGGAGTCAGTGCTGTGTACATTGTACCAAGTTCCATATTTAATTACCTCTTCTCCAGTTTAACGGCTCATTAAAAGGCCATAAAATGCCGGTACTTGGCTCTGTGAAGTGACCTGTAACCGTACGGGCTGCGAGACTTACCTAGCTCATCAGAAACGCCAGGAGATAACCAAGACATAGCATGAAAACCAGCATGAAAAACAGTCTCTCTTTTTAAAGCATCCTTAAAAGCATCCTCCCTTTTACCACGCTCAAGAAAGCTGTGCAGCTGATGGTAACAGAAGGAAGAGACACAGATTTGCAGGGCAGTGGAAGCTGTTCTTTTCCTTTATCAATATTTAAAGCTAGTAGGTAACTTAAGAACTAGTGACTCTGGTCTTCCCTATGTGTAAATAGTACAAATTAAGCACTCAGTCATACATGATACATGATATTAAAAAGAGATAAAAAAGACATTGTTTGGTATCTTTCCTTGTCAAAACTGTAACTCAGAGCCAATTTGAAAAAAATATTTTCAATTAAATCAGATAATTACAGTGTAATTTGTAACAAAGCTACATTCTACATCCCAAGCCAGTTATTCACAAAAATACAGATGTTTAGCTTTACCAAAACTCCATGGAAAGTGCACTGTTGACCTAGCTGAGCAAGGCCTCGCTAAGTTTGTACAATAAAATACCATGCAGAAACCAAGTATCACAAACAGTGGGAAGCATGGAGGAAAAGACATTGGTTTTGGGTAATCCCACGAGCTAGGCTATCCAATCTGTCCAATACAAGAAAGGTGAAGAGGCAGGAGCATGCACAAACTCACCTGCTACAAACTTGTCCAGTTGTCACCTTTCCTACCTTTCGGTTAATCTACTTTAACTAAAATTCGACCAAAGCATGTATCTTCCTATTTAGATGTAAGATTGATTCTCTTTTCTTTTAGAGAAATCTAAGATTTGTCTTTTTCCCCATGGAAGAGTGTGGCCTGACCCCTGTTTTTCTTGGGTGTGAGGGAAGAATATTCCACTAGAAGTGAGCAAAGCCAGAAGATGAATTATCGAAGACAAATGAGAATCAAATTTCTCTAGCTTCCTCTTCCCCCCATGCCCAATTATTCTGTGTCCCTTACAATGCTGGCAATTGGAAAATGGTGCGGTGCTGTCTTTCCTTTCTGTGCAATGACAGCAGAAGGCAAATTCAGCCCCTCCCCCTTGGTAATAACTGGGTTTTTCATAAGAATTGTGTGGACTTGTGCTCTGCATTGAACCTAACCCTGCTTTTACACCTTCAAGCACTATAGTCCAATCTCTGTGTTTGCTCCTTTGTTCTGCCAACCTGTGGCTACGTGGCTTTTGTGTCTTTCGGATTTACTTGCATTATTTATGCAACATAATGAAATATGCAAGCATAGAGTAAAGGATCTGTTCTTGGCTTTGACGTGAAGTCTGCCTCAGTTTATGGACTAAAAATAAAGCACAGTTCTTAAAAACTGTGGTAGAAAATAGCACGAACACAAGTTACTCTTCTTTCCAGTATCAGTGTTCCAAAGCTTTTGTAAGCACTGCACATTTGAAAATGCTATATAAACATACCACATTATTAAGTAGAAGGAAGGAGATGCAATTTTATCTATTTATGTATAAAGCAATTGTTTTAAATAACTTCCCAATAAGATGCACAGAACTTACCACCAGGGATGTTAGTATGGAAAAGCCTGAGCATTCTAGGAACTCATTTAATCCAGACAGCTTAAATGAAAAACTGAGCAGTATGTATTTTGCTGCATCCGACTGCAATCTGTAAGAATTCAGTCACTGACTTAAAGAGAAGCAGGCTGGGCTCTGAAAGGACTGATGACCAACTTTCCTACACCCCCTTATACTGTACAAAACAAAGGAAAGAAAACACTTATGCTTGTTAGTTCTGAAATTATTTTGGCATTTACATGAACTTTACAACTTTGAATAATAAAAAAAAGTCTAACATCTTGTTCTAAACAGCAAGATATTTTAGAAAAAAAAGCTTCCCTATTTGAAAGCAGCCTCAGCTCTGCACTCACAGTGTGCAGAAGGATACAGGGGCAGTGGGCACAACGACCGGTGCAGCTGAACACAGTGTAGAATTATTGCAAAAGAAGATGAACTGATAGACAACAACAGCAATCCACATCTCTTTACAAGTAGCACATTGCTTGCTTTTCAACTTGCTTAGCAGCTTATATTGTTTATTTTTCTGACGACTTCTTACTGTTATCTTCCACTGATCAATAAGTTTCTATATGGTTTTGTTTAAAAAAGTCTCTTTGCTAAGCAGTGTTTTGATTTTCACATCATAAACCCATTAGCGTGGGGAAGTTTGCTGCTTGAGAGATTCAGAAATGTAATTTCCTCAGATGAAAGTAAAATTGACATACATAGTTACCCCATTAAATAAGTTACGTGGTTTCCTCAAAAAATAAGTCAAAAATGAAATTTCAGAGGCTAACCCTGCTTCTTTCACAGACAGCAGTAGCAAGGGGACTGATTTCTCCCAGAGAGTAAAGCCACAAGCATTTTTTTCCAGGAATGGCTACTGTAAGCAGTGAGGGAAGGAGGAGAAAACTCAGCAATAGTTCATGCTGCAACAAACGAGAAACAGAGGAAAACATGCACTGTTAAGGGAGCTCTTTAGTAGAGTTCATCAGCAGTGAAGGCTTAAAAGGATGAATGCTACAAAATACATCCAAAATTTTAAACCTCTATATAGAGAACCCAAATGTAGGAGGAGCATACAGTATCTTTTTTTATTATTATTATTGTTTAAATTTTTTTTATTTTGGTCAAATTCTATTAAGTTAGAAAACACATTTTATTACCAATTAGTCGTCTATATTTTTAACCAATCAAAAATTGTTATCATTTGCTTACAGTTGTTGACTGCTGGCTGAAGCACTGCGCTCACAGTACTTTGGCTTCAGAAATCAGGAGTGAGCATTAACTTTAACATTAACTCTGAATTAATTTGTTTTAAGAATATTCACCTGTGTTCTTTAATGTGCAGTTCTAAATAATGGATATGTTCCTGAGGAGTTCTCATTGTTTTAACTCTTTTTCTGTTTTCGTTTTGTTATGTAAAGTAGTGAGAATGAAATGCACAACAAAAGAGTCCTGAAGATGGACGCTCAGGTGTCAGCAGCCTTATGTAATTGCAGGGATTAAAAATATGTTGATGTTCCCACAATTTAATTTAGTCTAGGCAAAAAATTATTTAAAATATTAGCAAGAGAGTACATATTGAGCACATGTCAGAATTCCAAGCATCAATGCTGAAATACTTCAAAACTGCTGATTCAAGAAAATTCATTAAACAATAGCTAAGAAAAACCCAGTTTTTATTCATTGGGTCCTATTTTGTAACTGATCTGATGTAGGATAGTTACACTTTGAATAGGACACCAGTTTCTCTTTAAAATGAAATCTATTGTTACATTAATATGGACAGTATTTTTGCATTAAAATATTTAGGATACATCTAATTTAGAGCTTTAATAACATGTACTAAAGGAACGTCCTGAACAATATTATTTTTTATTTAAAAACAGGCATTAGATAACCCCAGTTCTTAGGAGTATTTCATGTACATAATCCTTCATTTCATGCAGTCTGCATTTAGTTGTACAAAGGTTAAGCAGCCAAACAGTGATTACTTCATAAAAACCAATGAAAAACAAGTATGTTACAGCTCATGTTTTATAAAATTCAAAGACAACATTTTCAAAATACATGATTAAGAAAAGTGCAGCCAACACCTCTCCTACTGCTGCTTTTCCTGCTTCGTTTTTGTTGGCAGCGCTTTGATCCCACTTATGGTTACCATGGGCATTTTGAAATTGCCACTAATTCATTTACTGTAGATTCTGTATGCTCCTAAGCAAATGAAATAATGAGAAACAACCTTCTTTCTGATGGCATTCATTTGCTTTCAGACTGATTTCTTTTATTATTATTACTTTTAAACTATTTCCTTTTATAGAAAAAAACAAAACAAAACAAAAAAAAACCACCACCAACAAAATCCACCAACTTTAAAACCCTAAAGCTATTCGTAGATCAGCATATTTTTCAGATATTGTACTTATTTTTGTGTGTGAGAAACTACATTGATTTGTAAGTTCACAGGCAGAGAATAAAATTTCTCTGCAAACAAAGCAATATAAATAAAGCCCTGCAGAGAGAGATTTTGAAGGTTAAAGGAAGGAAGATGTGTACACCTACAAAGGTAAGAAGGCAAATTCAATATTTGAGTTTTTAGTTAAAGGAAAACCTTTTTCCCCCATTCTGCAAGCTTACACCAAATTGAATGTGTATCATTCAGGTTTGGTGTAAAAACATCACAGTTTTAACCCAGAATTCTGTATGCTTGTTCTCCGTGTAAAACCATTGTTTAACCAAGTTTAGAAGTAATAAACTGCATAATTTATAATTTTCATTTAGTACAAAAGCACTCTCACCAATTAG